AGCGGTCTCCGACATCGCTGCAGAGACTTCTTCCTAATCAAAAGAAAGTAATTGGGCTACAGTAACCCCGATGCCTGAATTTATAGCGAAGCGGTGATCTGTGATTGGTGCTTTGCAGAGCCCGCCTAACTGTTAGCCAGGAAGAGCTTTTCGTCCTCCGAGTCTGTGTTTCTTCGGAGTTATAAATTCATATTTTTTGTAAAAAGCGTGCCACGAAATCGCCCCGGTTTCTTCGGGGAGTGAAGAGGAGACGGTGGACTTTCATTCGGGGGAATTTCTTGCTGTTGGGACCCCAGATGAGAGAGAAAAGACGTCTTTAACCCCGCGTTGTGAAGCCAGAGGGACCCCGGGAACGGCAAACTTTTGTTTTTCCTTCTAAATTAAAATAAAACCCGTAGATAAAAAGTCTCCCCCGTAATGCAGACTTATTCTTTAGGGGGTTGTCTCCAGATTAGGATAGAAACCGAGGGGGCAGCTTCAGCAGTTTTGTCGTAAATTGATTTCAAAGAGAAGGAAGTAACACAATTTCATGGCTGAGCTTTGAATATGGATAAAGATTCGACTCCCTTAACCATATCTTTAACTATTAAGGACACAGTATTTCCACAGAATTTCGTGTTTGGGGAAAATAAGAGACCTTCGGAGGAATATATATATTGTTGAAAAGTGTCTGAAACTTGCCAGGGCTTTGCATTTTTTGTGGTGTTCTGTAAGCGAATAGCAAGATTTTGATATTTTTAAAAATAGTTTCTGTTTATAAAATGAATCTGTCAATGCCTAGTTAGTGCCTATAAAATCCGGATAAAGTGTTAGTTTAACGATTTCTCAGTTATAGTAGTGTACATTATTGTTAAGACCTGCAGAAATCAGAAGCAGACTTGTAGGGGAAAAATGTATGGATACGCTAATATGTATTGCATACTACTTAAACATTAATGGAGCCAGATGAAGCCTCGATTTTCCCCGAATAAATTAAATGATACGGAAATCTGGCCTGTGTGACCAGAATGCTTCAGCCTCAGTATTATCTATAAGTATTCGGGCACACATTGTTGGGTTTTCTTTTCTTTTCTTCATCGGTTTCATAAAACCTGCCATTCTCTTCTTTAAAGGAAAAGGAGAACACTTGCCAATTTAGGTTTTCATCCACATCCTCAGAATGTTGAAATAATTTTCAGGCAATCCTCATAAATCTTTAATGGTTACGTTCCCACTTAATTATTAAGCCTCACAAAGTGACAAGAGAAATTAATTACTTTTTTTAAGGGCTGCTATGAATTGTTTGGGATAATTTTCGATTCAATCAGAAGACAAAAGCCTCGATTGGCTTCTAATTAAAAAAACAGCCAATTTCATTTCTCCTTGGTTGAAAAGAGCAAATTAAGCCCAAACCTAGTATTTTGCCCCATTGTACTTTGTAAAAACTTGTAATGCAAAACATCAGTGGGGTATTTCAGCAAAGGAGCGTCTTTTCTAGCATGGATGAATTTGAGATTCCAGACGACAAGCAGTATGTTGCAAAAGGCCCTGACATTTATTTTCATATGTTAAATGTTGAAGGCAGAATTAAGTTATACTTGATAATAAGTAGTTTTAGTTGAAATGAGATCGATTAAAATGACAAGAAAAAATGAGATACATTAGAGTAAGAAAAGTGAAAACAATGAACGGTCACTTTTTCATGTTTTCTTTTAGTTCTATTTTTATTTTGATGTGTCTGCAAGCAGGCCAGCTAATAAATACTGGACAGGAAGGGAAAAGCAAAGAAAGGGAAAAGTTAGGCTTTTCGGTACCCCACAGTAAAAACCAGACTGGAAGGCATATTGAAGCGGGCTGTGAAATCTGCCACACTCCTCGGGTGAACGTGACATTGCTATGACATAAACAGCTAGAACAAATCCATGGTAGCCATGGAGTTGGAAAGCTCAGGCTGGTAACCCAAATGAGCTGTAGCAATATATTTTTCTGAGAGGTAAAAAAGCAGTTGCTGGTCGTTAGATGAGGGCATTATGCTTCTTTTCCAGGTTAAGTGGATGGAGATGGGCACACGGCAGAATCAGAGTGTAATACAAAAGACAGAGCCGGGAAGGGTTGTCATCTAGCCAGGTCTGTTTAATGCATTTTCTTCTGGGAGTAAGGACTGAAAGAAGCTTAACGTGCCTTAATCTCTGTAGCTTTGACGATTTAGTGTTAGATCGCTACAAATCTAGTTTATTACACTTGAAAGTGGTGAGGAAGCTGGGAGCAACTGGGAGTGGACGGTAACCGCTAGTGAAAGCCC